TGACTGTCCTGCAGTTGCATCTTTGCTTCTTTAAGCACCTCTGTTTTGGTTGCTCTCTACCAACTGTCTTTCTCTCTAAATTTGACATGTAATTTCATAGTTTGTTTGCCAGAGTTTATCTGATTCTAGATTATGCCTATGGCATCTTTTTGATGTAAATTGGTGACTAGGGATGTACATAGGATCTTGAAAAAGAATCCATGGAAGATGAATATTTTGAGAAACTATGCATGAATAAATATTTTAACATGTTTTCACAAAGATAAACTTACAGCTTAATTTTCTACTAACTCATTTGAGCTTCCTTGTATATGTCAATTACATTTTTTTGTTTAAAGATTTATTTTATTTTTATTGGAAAGGCGGATATACAGAGAGCAGAGAGAGAGGAAGATCTTCCATCCGATGATTCACTCCCCAGGTGGCCGCAAGGGCTGGAGCTGAGCCAATCCGAAGCCAGGAGCCTCTTCCGGGTCTCCCACACAGGTGCAGGGTCCCAAAGCTTTGGGCCGTCCTCGACTGCTTTCCCAGGCCACAAGCAGGGAGCTGGATGGGAAGCGGGGCTGCCAGGATTAGAACCAGCGCCCATATGGGATCCCAGGCGTGCAAGACAAGGACCTTAACCACTGCACCATTGCACTGGGCCCATGTCAATTACATTTTGATTTGTATCAATAAATTAGATCTGTTATGTTTTATAAGTGGTATTTTGCAATAGTTATCTACTTATGTTTGACTTATTCGGCGTAACATCTTTGAGCTTCTTCCATGTTGTTGATTTCCTTCCTTTTTAAGGCTGAACAATATTGTATTTTCTGTTTCACAATTCCTGATACTAATTATATTTTTAATCAAATGAAAGAGAAAAAAATACAGTCAATAAAGTGGGAAAAAAAAAAGGAGAAAGAAGATAAATATTAAGCAAGCAAGCAAGCAAATGGATGGGCATTTGACTTGGTGGTTAAGAAACTGGTTGGGATCCTGGATCCTGGATCAGAGTACCTGTGCTGGAGTCCAGCTCTGTTCAGTTATGGTCTCCTGATAAGTGCTCACCCTGGGAGGCAGCAGCGACAGCTTAAGTAGGGGGTCCCTGCTGCCCATATGGGAGACCTGGATTGAGTTTTCAGCTCCTATCTTTGGCCCTGGCCTACCTCAGGCCATTGAGGGCATTTGAGGATCTGTTGCTCACTCACTCACTCTTTTCCCCTGTCTCTCATTCTCTCTCAAATTGTGTTTCCTTCTTTCTTTCTTTTTTTCTTTCTTTCTTTCTTTCTTTTAATAAGGGATGTCACAATTTGGAAGGAATTTAAACATTGAGTGCATATCATTCTAGACATCTGTTTATGAATAAGCAGAAAAATAGAAATAATGCCCAGCAATGGGTGTCAGGGCCGTCTTGCTTTCCAAATACTAACAGCTCCCTTGACTGGACATAGATGCAGTAGGCTTCCGGAGGCTAGTGGCTTGGCCCTCTCTCAGAATCCATCCACTAATTCCTAAACCACACATGTAGGCAAGGAAGTTCTTACTGAATTTCTCCTTTTTAAAAAATTTATTTGAACATCAGAATTCTAGAGAGAGCAGGAAAGGCAGAGAGAAATCAAGATCTTTAATCCATTGATTTGCTGTTCAGATTGCGAAGGGGCTATGGCTAGACCTGGCCAAAGCTAGGAGCTCCGTCTGGGTCTCCCACATGGGTGACAGGGCCTAAACACTTGGACCACCTTGTACTGTTTTTCCCAGACCATTAACAGGAAGTTGAATCAGAAGTGAGCAGCTGGTTTGGCATGGTGTACACATCATGGGCCAACCCAGTTCTCTTATAAACTGAACAGTTGACCCCCACATAGAGTCTGAGCTCTTGTTTGTTTTATCTCTAAGCAATTCCTGAGCACAGCAGAACTATCCTATACACATATTTTCTAGTTTTCTTCATTCATTACTTTTTTTTTTATTAAATGTCCATTATGTGTCTTGTCAGGAGTTGTGCTAAATCCTGGAAGTACTTAGACTGGAAGATTCAACTCCTGCCCTTAGGTAACTCACAGTGTAGAAGGAGACCAAGAAGAAAACATAGTTTCAGTATTGCCTGATAAATTCCCATCCTGGTGAAATTGAGACAGACTTGCAGAAGGAGATGATCAGAGTCTTGAAAGAGTAGGAGTAAAGGAAGTGAAGAAATGTGCATGTTGGTCAGGGCCAGGTAAACAACAGGTGTGCAAGGACCAAGGCCTTAGGGTTTGGGGTCTGAGGACTTGTAGGGAGTTCACCGTGGTTGAAAGCAAGCAGGGATGAGTGGAGCTGGAGAAGCAAGCAGGGTGAGAGGGCGAGGATCCTCTTACAGAATGCTAAGGAGGACAACTGGGATGGAACTGGAGACGAAGGGTCATCTGAAGGGTTGAACAGGGAAGGGATGTAATGAGCTTTGCTTGAGTAGGTCTGTTGTTGCAGCCTGAGTTCTGCCCTCAGAACAGTGCTGAGGTTACGGTGGCACATGGTCTTCATCCAGGCTTTCTCAGACAGTGCATGCTCCCTTAGTGCTGATGAATGAATGAATCGATCACAACTGTCTATAGGTCTGGAAACGCCCCAACTCTCATATAATGTATCCATGAGGGTTAAAAATGAGCAGAATCAGGAATTGGAATTATTCCTCTAGTCATACCATCATGCAGCATTACTAATGGGGCCATCATCTCAAAACACCAAATTCTGAAGTATTGTCATGTTTCTGTAAAAATCAAATGTATCATTTACTGACAAGCATTAGTGAATAATGAAAGGACAATGGTTAAGTCCAAGACAAAGATTTTGACAGACCATAGGAAGATTAAAAAAACTGGCCAACTTTGGCTGCCTGGGCTGTTCTGTTTTTGTTCTTAGCCATAATGTAGAATGCAGGCAGCTTTTTATTACCAGGGTAGTGGGCAGGAAGGTAGGGTGAGGGAACAAAAGATACCAATGTTGAAAGAGAACCACAGTCAAGCTTTTCTGTTATTTAAGCTATACTAAATGTGGCTAAGGCTCAGCTGGTGACATGAGCATGTTTGATATTTCTGATATTGCTTATTCACATTGAATTTTGCCCTCCTTCACCCTCCTGAAGGTATTTTCTAGGAAGAGGAATGCCAAGCCTTAGTTCTAGAATGGAGGCCAAGCTCATTCCCCCACCTCTGGACCAAAAAGAACTTCAACGTTCTCCCAACTCTTCCCTCCCTTGGGAAGTACCTTAGCAGTTTTTCCTAGTTGTCCTATAACTGGTTACATCTAAACGACTGCAGCTTCCTCCCCTGCCCCTCTGAATTGGAGAAGTGGGGTTGGGTACACATGACAGTTTGTGATGGAGGAAGGAACGGGAGAAGTAGGATGGGCTACTAGAAAGGAACAGAAGGTGACACCTTTTTTATAACTTAGTGCAGGATTCCACAGAAAACCAAGGCCACCCTAAATTAGGTTTTGTGTTTGGGGGGAATCTAAAGGCTAATCTAGGGAGTGGGACAGTGAGCAAGTATCTGAGCAGGGGCCAGTAACCTCTCCAGCCACTGACCTGCCAGTGCTGCCCCATTGCAAGCTCGCCCTTCCCCGGAGCCAGGCCGACAGCAGTTATTCCTCATGCCTAGCAGAGGAGGAAGCTGACCTGGGCTCCTCCCAGGCTGCAGAGCCTGATGCAAGACATTGACTACATTGGTTTAATTTTGCTATTTCTCAAATACAGGCAGCATTAGCATTATATCTAATTTTAGGTCTAGATCTAGTTCATGTTTTTAGATCTAGTTCATTTGGTAACTAGGTACAATGTAGCTTCTAATGGGAGACCTTGATTGCACCCTGTAGGCCTATGTCGGCCTCCTCCTAGCCCCTCCTTTCTTCCTGGCCCCTCAACTTCTGGTAATACTTTAAGATTTAATGATACGACAACATGCTGAAACATCGTTATGGATTATGTTCAGTACAGTGAAAAGGATCAAAGCCCTTTCTTCTTTGGAAAAAACATTTCAGAAGTGAGCTGTCAAGCAGAGATAGACTTTTGGTGGCTCCATGTAGAGTGCTACTGATGAGTTTATGGGTAAGACAAGAATAGGTACTCTGGGGACTAACAGCACAAGTTATTAAAGCTGGAAATCACCTTAGACATAATCTATCCCCAAGATTTTATAGTTGAGAAAATGGAACTTCAAACAAGTGGAATGATTTTCTAACGTCACTCAGTGGACAGCAGGATTGGGTGTCAAATGATCCCTTCTCACCACCCCCTTCCAAATGTTTATTTTAAATCTGGCAGCTCTGAGTTAACGTTCATAGCTTTCAAACTCTGCCTATTACATCTAGTCTGAACAAAGAGCCTTTCCAGAACTACTATTAGAGATGATGTGTGACATTTACTAAGTCTTTATGTGGCAGTCACTGGGTAAAATATTTACCCATAGTATCACATTTACAATAATTTGAATATTATTATCTCTATTGTATAGTGAAAAATTAAGGCTTAAGAGGGAGAAATAAGTTGCTTGGAGTTACATAGCTATGAAGTGCTAGCAACAGACTAGAGTCCAGGTCTGGGGTGAGGCCATAGTGAAAGCTGGGTAAGCAAAGTCAGAACATAGAACTGTCCCTAAAGCTTTAGTTCATGAGCAGGGAATAAGAGTCAATGTTGAAGCAGTGACTTTTTAAATCTTCCTGAAATGAGGAAAAACAATTACTTTTTCAGGATTTTTTTCTTGTTTTTTTTGGGGGGGGTTTTCTTTTGGTTCAAAACCGTGACTACATGTTGCTTTTTTTTTTTTTTAATTACTTGTTTTGCCTCTAGAGTTATTTTGGTGTTTTTTTCTTTTTCTTTATATCTGTCCATGTGTTACTAGCGACATGCCCAGAACCATATCATGGCATTAAAATTCCATGAAGTCCATTTTGAGAATCAAATTACTACATCTATTTTTAGCTTTCAACACAAGTTACTCTTTTCTCATTACACTTTTAACTACGTATTGATAAAGTCATATTGAATATAACTTGTAGTTCAATAAAAGCCCTATGTTGGGATAATCAGAGCAGACCCATAGGCTGGCATTCATATAGTTACACTGCCTAGCAGCTCCTCCTGATTTGGGACTACCCTCCCTGTTTGCTGCTATATTTATCTGCCTCCTTGGCCATAAAAGGCTAGCTGTGTGGCTCTGACATTCTGCTGCCTGACCACATGCATTATTTTTGAACTGGCTCCCGGGGTCCTGTCTTTAGCCCTGCCTCTCAACTTTTTCTTGGATTCAGCTTCAGCAGGGTTCCATTCTCTCTCCCAGCTCCTCTGCTGCATTGGAACTTTCCACCTCTATCGCACTTTGGAAACTGGTAAGTGGGGCCCCAGGGCTGAGGAGGCACTTGGTAGTTTACGCGTGTAACAGTGTGCATGTGTGGTTTCTTTCTGAGTCAGCAGTTTTCTCAGAGATGTCAGAATAACGGAGAAGCAGGAAAGGGAAGGCAGGGAGGGAAACCAGAACAGCACAGTGCCACTTGGGACTCGGGCAGCTCTGCTCTCAGATCACTGTATTCTTTTGAAATTAAGCTGCTGTTCCTGGAACTGTAAGATCATATTTGTCTCACATTGAAATATGGTCTAGTTGAAATCTGGATGGATAAGGGACAGGAAATACTGTGTTTTCAATCCTCCATGTACTGACACTAGTCCCTAACTACAAATCAGTCCAAAAGCAGCAAATTAACTTAGAAGTCACTGCTTAAGTGACTTGTGCTGCAAGAATGCTGTATAGATAACCATTAAGGGTTCATTAGCACACTCCCAGTCTAAAAATGTTTAAGCAATTCATCAGAGGTGACACAGCTCCTTTCCTAACAATTCTAAAGTTGACACCTTCTGCAGATAATTTTCATCGGCTGTTGGCCTGAAATGACCATATAAAAAATACCATGTTGAATTATGACTGTAGAGTTTCTATTTCTTTCTCAAAGAAATATTTTCAGAAAGTATTTTCAGAAAGGAAATTTAAGTCTTAAAGGAACGGAAGACAACAAGGCCATCTTTCCTTCCAACACACTCTCCCTAGACTGTGTTGTGAATTACTTGTTTGCCTGACAAAGAGGAGACCGAATTTTTTTTGTAGGAAAAATGGACTTAAAAGATAAATTTATTTTTATGCAGAAGTTGTTTTGAATCTGTGCATTGTTTTATTTATGATATGCATTTTCCATGAACTTTCTTATGTGAGTGGCATATTAAGTATTATTGAGATAAGAATATATGAGAAAAATAAAACTAAAGAGAGTAGAAAATAGAATTGAGGCAGGAGATTTAGATGTTATTTTGTAAAAAAACAGCATTTCAAGTGATTTGGATGTAACTTGATCTTATAGTATACAGGATGGTCCTATGGATTTATCTGGAAATTGTTTAAATAACATTTACCAGATTATAATACAGTATACATCATTACTGACATTTATTCAATATCCTTATAACTTTCTAGTATATAATTCTGTATTCATATAGTTAATTACTCATTGCACATGGTAATTATTCTGTATATTTATTTATATTATTCTATATATAAGGGTTGAAACTAAGTGGCTGGCTAGTAGCTATTCTTTTCCTCTTAGGAAATGCCGATAGACTGATACCTCTCATAAGTCCTAAAATAAATATTTCTTGAGTGAAGTTTTCTGGATTTTCCCCTCTAAAGGATACATGCTGACTCCTGAAATAGTCTGGATAAAAATAATTTTTCAACTTAACAATAGATATTTTAGAATAAAGTTCAGCATAGATTTAGCTCTCATTTGGAATTTTCAAAAACTAAAGTTTGGAAACATAATTACTTTGAAGCTAACTTATAAAATTTAAAAATAACATTTCAGAACATGTGCAAAGCATTGGGGAGGGAAACCTTCAGAAAACTTACTTTCACCAAGATTGCTTATACACCTGTTATGCTTCCTGTCAGTATACAATTTATTCAAGAAAGCTGATGCAATTTAACATCTCCCCTCCCTATAATAAGTAAACTTACCTCTGACTTTCAGTAGAGCTGTTGACTGCAGGTCACCATGCCAACCATCATATTGGAGACGGTGCTCTTCTTCACGTAGGAAGACTGTAAACCTTCATATTTCTAGTGGAACAAGTTTTTTTTCCCTCTTCTTTTGAGACTATGCCTTTTTGAAGTATTTGTGAGATTTCAGAAAACTTTTGTATAACATTTAGTCCAAGGATTTTCTTTTCCATTGCTACTCATTCCCACTGTAGGTGACTCTTATTGTCACCTACCTGCTGTTGATGTCCACATGTAGGTCTTCTGGAACATGCTGGACCTTGCCCCTATATTCCAGAGTCTCATATTCAGCCTGCCTCTTAGCACCTGCACATGAAGGTCTGTTTGGCTTCTCAAGCCATTCGGGACCTCTGCAGTGTCTGACCACTTCTCATCTTCCACTGCTGTCCAATCTACCCTGGACTGTGGCTGTGGCCTTGCATGAGTCTGATAGGGCCACCAGAACAAAGGGTCACAAACTGGGTAGCTAAGGTGAAAGCAATGCATTTCTTATATTCTCTTAAATTCTGAAGAATAGAAATTTGAGATCCAGGTGTCAATCAAGTTGATGTTTCTGAGGCCTGTGCTTGACTTGTAGATGGCCATCTCATTGCTATGTCTTCTCAGTGAGAACTGTGTCCTGCTTTCCTCACAGGGCACCAGTTGGATTGGACAGAGCCCATCTCAATAACTTTGCATTCACTTAATTTGCCTTTTAAGGACACTCTCCACATACCTGACACTTGCAGTCTGAGGTTCTGGAGTTTTAGGCTTCAGCCTGTGATTTTTACAATCCATCATGTAATAGTCTTTAACTTGAGCTCCTGCTTCTCCCTTTTGCCCCTCAGTAATCTGCTCCTCAGACATCAATGGGAGTGATTCTTAGCTCAGAGCCTTCCAATGGCTACTCCTCCCTTTCAGAATAAAAGCCTGAGTGTCATCTGCAAGACTCTAGTCTGCATTGTCTCCATCCCCTCTCTGTGATTCTTGCCTCTGTGACATCATCTCCTCCCCTCTCACGGGCCTGTTGACTAATCCTGGAACAGGGTAGCCATGTTCATTCTCCCAGTGCCTTTGCACTGGTTTTCCAACTAGAGCACTCTCTCACAAAATATTCTCAGGTTCAGATGTTTTTTTGTAGTGAAGCCAGTCCTGATAAGGCCATTTAAAATTAGAAACATCTCTCTTTCCTTCCTGCTTTATTTATTTTACAGTAACATTTAGTTCTGCCTTCCTCCCCTGACATAACCTCCTTGGAATTTTCTTTTTTCATTTTTATATTACTTTCCATTATATGATTCCATCAGACAGGGGTTCCAGCTCCCCCAACCCATCCTCCCACCCCCACTGTTTTCTCCCATATTATTACAATAGTATAAAGTCCTTCAGCAGCAGTCACAAGTCCAACATTCTGCTATTTAAGTGTATTATGAAATAATAGGTATAGACAATGGTAGAAAAATCTAGTATCATATTGTCAAGATATTTTTAACTGTTTCATCAGGAGTTCTTCTTTTATTTGAGAGTAGAGATGCATACTGCAATGCATCTTTACTTCCTGGCATGCTAGCTTCCATTATGTAGTTCATCTATAAGAATGTACATATATACATGTTTACCTACATATCTGTTCATCTTGTCTTTTGCATGAAGGTTGGATTATATCAGAGAGAACATATGATATTTGTCCTTTTGGGATTGGGCTTTTTCACTGAGAATAATGGCCTTTAGTTGAGGCTATTTTGTTGTAAATGGTAGGGTTTCATTCTTTTTAATGACTGAGTAATATTCCATGGGGTAGATATACCATGGTTTCTTTATCTATTTCTCTTTCAATTTGGGTTGTTTTCACATCTTCAATGTAGTGGGTTGTGCTTCTATAAATATAGGGTTGCAGGGCACTTTCTCATATGCAGATTTCACTTCTTCATGATATGCCTGTTACTTTATTTGTTTTCTCTGTTGCCTATCTCTTGCAATATAATATAAAGTTCTATATAGTTATTGCATTTCTTGTGCTGGAATAGTTACAGGTTCATGATAGGTGCTCACTAATTACTTGTTGAATAAGCAACATATTAATCTATTTTATTATATATTCTCCAAGAGGAAGAATGAAACACCATATTACAAAGGGCCTGAGGACAAAAGCTCAATATCAGGGTAAGGAAACTTTGTCAGTGCCTTCTAGAAAAGAACAGTCACGGTGACAAGAGGAGGCACACATTTGAACTGTGAGGCAGAGCTGATTGAATAACTAGTTAAACCAAACTTTGGAACTTTTCCATTTACTCTTTGGAAAAAATAGGACTATGACTTTTTTACTCATTGGTTCAGGTGATGATTTCTATAGAATTTGTTCCTTGATGATTCACTCAAAAACTCTTGCCTTTTTGTAGATTGCCTGCTTCCCTCCAGGGACACACAATGTCTTTGCCGTTCTACCAGAGTTCCCACACACACTATGATCACAGCTACCGCCACAAGGACTTGCGTAGCACCACGAGCCAGTACCACCAGCAAGAGAAGAAGCGTTCTGCCATCTATACCCACGGCTCCACGGCCTACAGCAGCCGCTCCTCTGCGGCACACCGCCAGGAAGCAGCGGCCTTCAGTGAGGCCTCGGCCGCCTCTTCCCAGCAGCTGGCTTCTCAGTCCTACAGTCTTGGAACAGAACAGTACTCTCTTGCATCTGCAGTCAGTCGCAAGGCAGCCTCAGCCTCTGACTACGGCTACTCCCATGGGTATGTGACAAGTAACTTTCCACCCTTGAATAACCCTCCCAAGCATCTTTCTCATTCCTTAAAAATAGCAGTCCTTTTAAAACTAGAGATGTAGAGAGACCATGATGCAGAGTCTGAGAGTTTTGCCTTAACTGAGTCCCTTTCTTGTCTTTCTGAGATTCTCACAGAGCTTCTTGGACACCCTGAGTCTCTGATGGCAATATTTCTAGAAGCAGAGAAACTCTGCCACAGGGTACTGTAGCAACAGTTGAGCCAGATAATATAATTTCAGCACTCACAGCAGGTTTCCTGGCTTCCAGAACATTTCTGCTTAGACAGGAAGCCAGCACAGAATTTAAAATTCACAGGTCACAGGGAACTAAAGTGGAACAGAATTATATTCTATTTTTTTCAATATCTGAAAACCAGTACATCAAATTTTAAGCTATAATTCAAGTAACAGCAGCTCCTTGTGCTGAATATTTTATAAAATCGTGGCTCTGTCTCAGTCAACTCAAAATAATAGGAACAAGCCTGTACTGCGGCAAAGTTAGATTTCTCAACACAGGGCAGCAAAGGAACCAATGTATTAGACAATGGGAAAGTTATTTTAGCATTCTAGGAAGAATGGAGTTTACATGCAAATCTGATCTGTGAAGTAAACCCAGGGTTCCATTTCTTTGGGAATAATACAGCTAGGATAAATGTAAGCTGTTGTATCTAGAAGCTCCTGGAGCTCTTCAGCCACAGTGGGTATTGGGCTGCTTCTCGTGTCAGCAAGTGACTAAATCTTTCCAGGCAAGACTGAGACGTTTCCTTCTTACCACTGTCACTTCAGACTGACTGACAGTCTTTGATACTAAAGAGAACAGCTTCTCAGTGAGTCTGTGACCTCCCAAACAGGATTACCATGACCTTTCCCAGCAGCAGTGTCTGCGAGAACTCTTTCCCCATCAATGTGGCAGTTGGCCTGTCTGTATCTGTTGTTCCACTCTGATACACGTTGGGCAGGTATTTACTTCCTCAGACCAAGGCAATTTGTATTTTTCTTAATGTTCAGAATGAAATCTTTTCTGTGGATTTAAGGACTACTTGTGATTTTTATTACAAATCTATCTATGATCCACAGAGAGAATTGGTCATCTTCAAAATGTAGGTATTTCTGGGTGATATGGTAAATAACCACCTGCTACCTCTAATCTTCTTGCTATAGGTTGCATTGTTATAAATGCAATATAATCTTAAACCTTACATAATTTAAGTTCACAAACCATCTGGAGGGATAATTATAGAATGGGTTTGAGAATCTAAAAAGTTGTTGAGAACGTAAAGTGGTAGTTTGTGTGAGTAAAAGTGAAAAAGATTTTGGAGGCTAGAGATTTCTCCACCCCTGTTGGGTCTGCCCAGCACCAGATGTATGGCTGTCATTTCATCAGTGACCAACACCTCCTAGGAGCTTCTACTAAGTTCAGTAACAGAGCTGGTATCTGCTGGGGTTTACCTGGAATGCATGGTGGCGACGTTCTGAAATTCCACTTAATGGGATGGGATCATTTTTCAATCTCCCTTTCATAGGTCAGCTTCTGCCATGGGATATTTCATAAGTCTCTTGGTGTTGGCTGTAAGTATGGAAATATTGTCACTGGGGGTTTTATTTCTTTTAGCACTTGGTTCAAATGAAATGCCTCCGTGAGAAAAACTGGAAGGAATGAATACTATGTGAATGTGACAGCATCATTTTGTTCCCCTGAAAAATGTTCCACTGACATGCTTAAGAACCTCGTTTAGGAAAGCAGCTGTCGTGTAATAGAGGGGGATTACAGTTGAAATTTCCATTTTCCTGGACTCTGTGCTATGTCTACATAAGATGGGTAGTTTCATTACCATATATTTGTTAGCATAGCTCTTTATGTAGTTATTTTATTTCCCCAATGCTTTGGAATCTTTGCAGAGTTTAATGTGCATATATATTTTACAAGATTTATTTTATTTTTATTGCAAAGTCAGATATACAGAGAGGAGGACAGACAGAGGAAGATCTTCCATCCATTGATTCACTCCTCAAGTGACCACAACAGCTGGAGCTGAGTCGCTCCAAAGCCAGGAGCCAGGAGCCTCTTCTGGGTCTCCCACATGGGTGCAAGATCCCAAGGCTTTGGGCTGTCCTCTATTGCTTTCCCAGGCCACAAGCAGGGAGCTGGATGGGAAGCAGGGCCGCGGGGATTAGAACCTATACCCGTATGGGATCCCAGCACATGCAAAGCAAGGACTTTAACCACTAAGCTACCGTGCCTGGCTCGTGAGCTTCTATTTTTAAGTGGGCTTTATTTCTTCAGTTCTGTTATTAAAATTTATGTTTAAATTAATTAAATTTTTTAAAATTTATGTTAAAAATTAATTTATGTTTAAATTATTCTAATATTATATAAATCTTTTAACCACAAGTGTAATGATACTTACTCATAATCTATATATCAAGCATTCATAATTGCACCCTTGAGTATATTCAAACCTTTGAATTTTTTTTATTCAGAAAGCATTTGTTGTATATAATCTTTAGAAGACTTAACTACTTTCTCTACAGTCTTCAATAATAAACTTTATATTGGGAATAGTACTTTAATTATGTTTCTATGTTCAGCCTCACATCTTGTTGCTTCCTACCATGTATATACTTATAAAGTTGCTGTGGTAGTTAATTGCTTGTTATGTCTGAACAACTCTAACTTCTTGGTGGGAATGGGTTTACCTGGAAACAAGAGGAGAAAGAAAATGCCAATATTATCTTTTCCTTTGAAAAATGCAATGTGAAAGACAAAGAAAGCCAACTTAATCTCAAAGGTGTTTTAGTCTTTCATTTTTTTAGCCTAAGAACTAACAGGTGCAGATAATATGCTTTGAACAGTTCAAAGGCTTACTAATTCCTTTAGATTGTATTTTAGCTTTTTCAGAATGACATGACGTTCTCCGCCTAAATGAGATATCTCTCTTGGGGGTGTGAGCAGTGTTGTTGATTAACACTCCTCGAGTTGAAATGAACCTCTGTGAAGTGTCTGCAAACACTACACTTGGTCTATTTTTAGTCTCTGCTTTGTAGTTAGGTGTCCAGTGTTAAAGTGCAACAGTGATTTACACTCCTGTGTACTCAGGGGCTGGCTGACCTTAGCAAGGCTTAGGAACAATGGCTTGTTCAGTACTGACGTGATTCTAGCACAAATTGGTTACCAATGGTATTCTGAACCATGGGTTAGAAAATAAATTCTGGAAGGCTTATCCTAAATATCCTTATTCTTTGTCACAGTAAAAAAAAAAAAAAAAGAAAAAAAGAAAAAAATCTAAAAACATACAAAACCTCTCAGAATGAGATAAATATTTAATACTAATTGTCAACAAATACTATCACAAATTAAAGGGAGTAATAGCATTTGTTGTCAGTTTTTTCTTTTTGCCATTTAATTTAAAAAGCGGAGCATCAGAAAGAAAGAGAGATCTTCCATCTGTTGATTTATTCCCCAATTGCCCACAACACCCAGGAGTAGACTGAAGGCCAGACCAAAGCCAGGAATCCAGAAGTCCATCAAGGTCCCCTTCGTGGATGACAGAGACACAAGTGCCTGGGCAGCTAATGCTGCCCCCAGGATGCATTGTCAGGAAGCTGGAGTGGAAGTGGTATAGTTGGAACTACTGGCACTCTCCTATGGAATGCAGCACCACAAGCAGTGCTTTAATGTGCATGCCACAGCACCCACACCAGGGAAGGGTTTTTAATCTCAGTTCATTAATGATTTTGAATTTTAACCTCCTTTTTACTCAAGTCCCTGCCTGTCCCCTGGGTACCTGATGCCAACTGAAGGCAGTAACTTCTCTTTACTGCAACTGAATTTTCCTTTTTTTTTTTTTTAAAGATTTATTTATTCATTTTATTTGAAAGGCATAATTGCACAGAGGGAGAGACAGAGATCTTCCACTTGTTTCTAGTGTGATCATCTTTAAAAAAAGAGATTTATTTATTTTTATTAGAAAGGTAAATTTTACAGAGAGAGAGAAGGAAAGACAGAGGTCGAGAGAGAGAGGTCTTCCATCTACTAGTTTATTCTCCAGTGGCTGCAATGGCTGGAATTGAGATGATCTGACATCAGGAGCCAGAGCCTCCAACGTGGGTGCAGGGACCCAAAGAAGGGCCATCCTCTGCTGCCTAACAGGCCGTTAACAGACAGCTGGATTAGAATAGAGCCTCTGGAGCTCAAAATGGCACCCATATGGGATGCTGGCACCTTAGGTGAAAGCCCAGCCTACAACACCATAGTGCCAGCACCCACTTTGGAATTGTGTTTCCTTTTATTTACCCTTCTTGTGGGAAGCTGTTGCGCATGAAAATAACCAGATTTTCAAACAGGGAACGATAGATGGAAATGATAAATTCTAAGAGAGGAAATCTGAGGGTGTTCATGAATATGTAATGTGGGTCTGTATACACTCTAATTTGCCATAAAGAATTAAATGTAGAGCTGCTGTTGTAGCACAGAGGCTTAATGACTGTTTATAATGCCAGTATCCCATGTCAGAATGCTTGTCAGGAACTGGCTGCTCCACTTCTATCGAGCTACCTGCTAATTAGCCTGGGAATTAGCAGATGATGGGCCAAGTACATGGGCCACCACTATCTATAAAGGAGTTCCAAGTGGAGTTTCAGGCTCCTGGTTTCAGCCTAGACCAACTTGGCTGTTTCTGCCACTTGGGGAGCGAACCAGTGGATAGAAGCTGTTTCTCTCTGTTACTCTGCCTGTCAAATAAATCTTAAACAATTAAAGAAAAGAATCAAGCGGAAATTTATAAGGGGCTGTAGGTGACACCTGGAGTGGGGACTATGGCAGACCTGAAAATTTATTCCATCTCGCACCCTGATATGGGTTCAAAAGGAACTATGCAAGAAACCTACTGTCTTGTGTCTCAACCTCAGTTTTTGGTGTCAAGTTCATGTTGACCAACATTTCGGTTTTTGTTTGTTTTAATATAATGGG